GCTGTACGGAGGGGAGGGGGGAGCTGTACAGAGGGGGGATCTGAATGGGGTTAGGAACGGTCAGTTTTCATTGAACATAAGGAAGGTGTCGCAGTCTCGCCCTCACCTGGTGATCTCCTGCTGCAGCTGGGACACAGACGGCACATAGTACACCACTCCGAAATACACGGTCGGCTCCACGGCGTATTTATCGAGCTGTTTCTTCAGCGGTTTCTCCAGATCCACCCAGCGCTGCTGGTTCTGCTTGTTGAGGTACCAGAGGCTGAAGTACGTCACCTGAGGACAGGAAGCAGAGAGACGATCAGTACTCCGATATTGTCACATAACACCGAAACTATCCGCTACAACCGCTCATACACACAGGAAGCTGATGCCAATGTCGCCTCGCGGGGTGACCCCATGAGATGAAAGTAGATGTAAACATGTTGTTTGCTCTGTGTACTTAAGAACTGCAATCATTTCCTTTCCTGCTTACACTCTTTTTCCCTGTCTCGGTGCTGCTGATCTCTTCCAGACATTTCCCGCCTACATTTGCTTCACGTCATTGCTCTGGACCGCATTCTAATAGAACATATCTGAGCAATGTGTGCCGGCACTGCCAATTGTAGTGTCTACTGGAACAGAATGTCATGGGGGTGACAACACAGGAGAACAATTGGCAGACAGGCACAGAGCGTTGCCACCCTCTAACAGGAAGTGCCTGAACAAGGACGGAGCATTGTCACCCTCTAACAGGAAGTGCCTGAACAAGGACCTTCATGGTGGGGTCACCAGGGACTGCAGATCTAAGAAGAGTGAATACAATTGACACTGTAAATAATATCAGATTTCAGAATACTTTATTTCCTTCTTTTTTTGTCTCAGCGCCTCACGAGAGATCCCTGCTAGAGGTGCAGCTGGTTCCGATATGAACATTTAACGATCAATGAATGTCTTTCTGATAATCGCGGAATGCTGGGAAACAAAACCCCCGAGCACACGACGCACAGACCTCTGACAGGAGATTCTCCTACATATTCCTCTGCTGCACATAGCAGTTAATGAGTTTATATTATACAGTAACAATGGCAGTTCATGGAAGGGTCAGCTGATCCCGTACACACAGCGACCTCCCGAGTCACACCACCTGCCCCCTCTGCTCCTCCGTATCTCACATACAGAGTATTCCTGCTCAACGTGCTGAGACTTGTCTGCTTCAGAGACTCGGAAAAACATTTCCATCCGTCTCCAGCCAAGAGCTCCCGTCCTCCTATTCCTCTATACACGGGGAATTCACTGCACTATGACGCGGCCTCTACTGCCACACGGCCTCTACTGCAACACAAAGCTCTACTGCCACACGGCGCGGCCTCTACTGCGACACAACGCTCTACTGCGACATGGTCTCTACTGCAACATGGTGCAGCCTCTACTACGACACAACGCTCTACTGCAACACGGTGCGGCCTCTACTGCGACACAACGCTCTACTGCGACATGGTCTCTACTGCAACACGGCGCGGCCTCTACTGCAACACAACGCTCTACTGCAACACGGTGCGTCCTCTACTGCGACACAATGCTCTACTGCGACACGGTGCGTCCTCTACTGCGACACAATGCTCTACTGCGACATGGTCTCTACTGCAACATGGTGCAGCCTCTACTGCCACACAACGCTCTACTGCAACACGGTGCGGCCTCTACTGCGACACAACGCTCTACTGCGACATGGTCTCTACTGCAACACGGCACGGCCTCTACTGCAACACAACGCTCTACTGCAACACGGTGCGGCCTCTACTGCGACACAATGCTCTACTGCGACATGGTCTCTACTGCAACATGGTGCAGCCTCTACTGCCACACAACGCTCTACTGCAACACGGCGCTGCCACTACTGCAACACAACGCTCTACTGCAACACGGCGCTGCCTCTACTGCGACACAACGCTCTACTGCGACACAACGCTATACTGCAACACGGTGCGGCCTCTACTGCAACACAATGCTCTACTGCGACATGGTCTCTACTGCAACACGGCGCTGCCTCTACTGCCACACAGCCTCTACCGCGACACAACGCTCTACCGTGACAGAGCACGGCCTGTACTGCGACATGGCGCTGCCTTTACTACAACACAACGCTCTACTGCGACACAACGCTCTACTGCGACACAACGCTCTACTGCGACACAACGCTCTACTGCGACACGGCGCGGCCTCTACTGCAACATGGGCTCTACTTTGACACAACGCTTTACTGCGACACAGCACAGCCTCTGCTATGACACACAGCAGTTACCTATCTCTACTGTAAGCCCCAACTGGATAATATTTATTTCCGCAGAAAACATTAAAATTTTGCTTTATGTAAATGACTTATTTTTTAACCCCCCATTCAATGCTGCTGATCACCTGCAGCCTCTTTTAGCCACTTGCCGTCTATATGCACTCGCCACATTGTCAGCTGCACGCCATTGATCTGGAACAGCTTCATAAGAAATGACAGCTGTGCACTATGCCTGAGCGATGGCCGCATGTAGTCCCCCACCAGGGGAGCATGTGACAAGTGACAACGCAGGAGCACAGCTGCAAGATTGTCACCTTATAAGAGGAAGTGCCTGAACAAGGACCCTCGTGGCAGGATCACCCGGGATTATTTTAATGAAAGCTGCAGATTTTAAAAGGACTGAAAACACCTTCGGAAATGAGCACGTTGAAGTTTCTGTGAGAGTGCAGTGATCGGATTTAGATCTCGATGGGAATACGCGTCTGTACGCCGCCCTACGCTCACCCCAAGTGCAGGTCCATACGGGTGCGGGTGTCCTGGCTCGGACGCAGACAGGATCCATCCTGTCAGAGTACGCGTATGGACACCCGCACGGACGTGCAGGGCGGGTGAGCATAGGGCGGCGTACGGCCGCGTAGTCCCATAGAGAAGGACGGGGACTGCGTACTAATCACACGCAGCACCTGTCCTTCCCGGGAGCTGCCCCGATACGGCCGTGCGCGCAGCACGGAGCTGTACATGCCGGCCGATTCGTGCGTATAGTACCATATGCAAATAAATAGCTGCGTATGGAGCCGTATATTTGCGTTGCGTAAAAATGCGCAAAAACAGAATGGAACCGAGATGCGTCCAGGCAGCGTATTTGCGTGCATATACGCACGTACAGTTCATTAACATTTCCATTACGAATGATGCATTGTGGGATTGAAAATAGTGCACGCATATAAGCTCGTATATACGCTCATGTACGCGTATATTCGCAATATACAATGTTGCACTTGCGTCGTGTGTGAATGAAGCCTTAGTCTACGTAAACCAGCACGCCGCTTGGCACTCTCTCTCCGCGCTCAGGGAATTGCACACACTCTACGCGGGCTTCACCGTTTCATTTATAAACGCTGCGCTGTTCTTTTCCTGCAGCCGCCCCCGCACCGCTCCGGCGTACACCCGGCGTAGGCTCCTTCGATGACACAGGCGTGCAGGAATGATGTGAAGACGCATTTAGCCGCTCTTGCATCAGGTCCGGCATGCGAATCTGCTGCCCAGCTACGTTAGTCATCAACCACCAGGGGCAATGAGTCACATAAGCCCACGTTGGCCGGGCCAAAGCAGCGGGCCCCAGGAATAGCAGCTCTCGGTATGCCCGCCTTCCCCTCTTGGGTGGAGGACAATAGTCCCATTGTGACGTCACAACCAGAAGAGCCACCACAATACTACGGCAAAGAATTTTGCTTAGGACTACGCGGCTTTCCAGCTGGCAGCGGTCCAGGGCGCCCAGCTCGCTCACCGCCCAGGAATGTGTGTTGCACAATAAAGCTCCCCGCATACCAGTCATTTCTTTCTTTCTGCAACTTGCTGAGTAGGTGGCCCGGGTCTGTTTGTCAGCCACGGCTGCTGCGAAAACAGAGAGGCGGCTGTCAAACACGTCAGGTACTCAGGGACTGTATCAGCAGAGACACCTATTGTGGATGAATTCCTGAGCCGGTCTCCGGAATTTCAGACTTTGCATTTATCTGAAGAGTTTCAGTGAAACCAGCGAGTCATAAATGCAGATAGTAAGAGAGGATCCTGCTACTGGCGGCGGAGATACTCACTACTGCTGCAGAGTGCTGCCAGCAACTAACACAACGCAGGAACGATGGACTTATTCTCAGCCAGGGTCCCCCAAAACGTTAGGATTCCTCCAGAGGTTGCTATGGGTTCCCCAACCAACAACCAATCTCTGGCTCTCAGATAAGTAACCACTGATGCCAATTCACTTTTTGTCTATCTGTAAGGGGAGCATTGTTCCCACTTACCACCAGTGTAATAGGGCCCTTCCCCCACTGACCACTAGTATAAGGTGGCTCTCCTCCAATGGACAACCGATATAAGGTGGCCCTTCTCCAATGGACATCCAGTGTAAGGGGGTCCTTCTTCAATAGAAAACCAATGTAAGGGGGCCCTTTTCCAATAGACAACCAATGTAAGGGGGTGATTCTCCATTGGCTACCAATGTAATGTGGCCCTACTCCAATGGAAAATCTATGTAAGGAGGTCCTTCTCCAATAGACAACCGATGTAATGAGGTCCATCTTCCACTGACCACCAGTAAAAGGTGGCCCTTCTCCAGTGGACAACCAATGTAAGGTGGCTATTCTCCAGTGGACAACCAATGTAAGGGGGCTCTTCTCCAATGGACAACCAATGTAAGGGGGCTCTTCTCCAGTGGACAACCAATGTAAGGGTTCCCTTCTCCAATGGACAACCAATGTAATTTATTCTCAGCCAGGGTCCCCCAAAACGTTAGGATTCCTCCAGAGGTTGCTATGGGTTCCCCAACCAACAACCAATCTCTGGCTCTCAGATAAGTAACCACTGATGCCAATTCACTTTTTGTCTATCTGTAAGGGGAGCATTGTTCCCACTTACCACCAGTGTAATAGGGCCCTTCCCCCACTGACCACTAGTATAAGGTGGCTCTCCTCCAATGGACAACCGATATAAGGTGGCCCTTCTCCAATGGACATCCAGTGTAAGGGGGTCCTTCTTCAATAGAAAACCAATGTAAGGGGGCCCTTTTCCAATAGACAACCAATGTAAGGGGGTGATTCTCCATTGGCTACCAATGTAATGTGGCCCTACTCCAATGGAAAATCTATGTAAGGAGGTCCTTCTCCAATAGACAACCGATGTAATGAGGTCCATCTTCCACTGACCACCAGTAAAAGGTGGCCCTTCTCCAGTGGACAACCAATGTAAGGTGGCTATTCTCCAGTGGACAACCAATGTAAGGGGGCTCTTCTCCAATGGACAACCAATGTAAGGGGGCTCTTCTCCAGTGGACAACCAATGTAAGGGTTCCCTTCTCCAATGGACAACCAATGTAAGTAAGGGGTCCCTTCTCCAATGGACAACCAATGTAAGGGGGTTCTAATCCAATGGACAACCAATGTAAGTAAGGGGTCCCTTGTCCAATGGACAACCAATGTAAGGGTCCCCTTCTCCAATGGACAACCAATGTAAGTAAGGGGTCCCTTCTCCAATGGACAACCAATGTAAGTAAGGGGTCCCTTCTCCAATGGACAACCAATGTAAGGGGGCTCTTCTCCAATGGACAACCAATGTAAGGGGTTCCCTTCTCCAATAGACAACCAATGTAAGGGTTCCCTTCTCCAATGGACAACCAATGTAAGGGGTTCCCTTCTCCAATAGACAACCAATGTAAGGTGTCCCTTCTCCAATGGACAACCAGTGCAAGGGGGTTCTTCTCCACTGGCTACCAATGTAAGGAGGTCCTTCTCTATGCAGACTGCTTAGTGGAGCGCCAGAGCCCGGTCCCAGCTGCAACCGCTGCAACCCTGGTAGTTCTCATGAAAATGCCAAGTATCTGCACTGGTATCTGAAATGTATCTGTGCATCCCTAATAAGGTCCTCTGAGAGAGTGAAGCCGGACAACAGGAGAGCCGCCTCCCTCCACACACCGCCCATTGTATTATATAGAGATCTACCTAGGGGGAAGGTCATTGCATCATACGGCCGACATCATCAGCGCACTCACCTCTCGAAGTTCCAGCCTCTGCGCCACCGCCTCCAGGCACTCCTGCCCCGAGCTCTCCACCGAGAGGGTGAACTCCACAAACTCATTGTTGAGCAGCTGGATCCGCGCCACCAGGCAACTCTTACTCGACACCGTGTACCTCCGCGTCCGCTTCAACTTCAGCCCGAACGGAAGCGGCATCTTTCCCGAAAGAGCGGGATCAGCTGCGGGTCTTACGAGGTCATCCGGCGGCCATTAAATAAAGGGAGAAGAATCCGCACGCGGAGTACATTCAGGATCCTTAAAAGGAGACACAAAACACAAACCGATCAATAAACAAATAAGGGTAAAAAGCAGTATAAATAAAACACTGATTGCACATAAAGTCATGAGAGCCAAATCAACATAGAGCTCACCATACATGCTGCAATCTGACCGTACAATCAACTTTACATTCATCAACACTATGCTGCATCTAATCAGCCAGGTCCTTGCACTGCATAGACGCATATGAACCAACTGTCCTAGATTCGCCGGGACAGTCCCACATCATGGCCCTCTGTCCCGCTGATGCTGTGTCCTTGGCCATGTCCTGGGATCACATCATCAACCATTTTGAGTTACAACACATGCACAAGAAGTCAAAAGGCCATTCATTGTGGGGATCATCATCAGGGTCATGAGTGGGCCTGGGTGGGACCAACCTGTAGAGTGAACATGATGGCCGTTACCTGCATAGTTAAAGGCTGGGACCGGGCTGGACCAACTCATAGTGGGCATGATATGGGTGCACCCACCCAGATAGTAGGCGGGGCTTACAGTGTCCCTGGATGCAGTTGTTGGTAGATATAAAAGACATTTGCCCCAAAGGGGGGGGGGTTGCCATTCCTTGGGACAGGTCCTCTTTTAAGATCACAGAAGATTTGTGCCCGTGCAAACAAGAACGAGCCGACGTATCACAGCCCCTTCAGCCACTATACTGAGGATGGGGCACCATGCTGGTATAGAAAACAGCAAAAGCTTCTACGGAATCAGATCCACTACAGCAAGGAAAAGGAGGGGTAACCTGGAGATTTAGAACTGAACTCTGGACTAGGGTTGCCACCTTTTTATCAAGCGAAACCCGAACACTCTAGCGACGCTTGGACGTTTTTTTTGGGAGAATGAGTCACGGCTTATTCATATGTAAATATCACAGTCGAGATAATTTCAGCAGGGG